TCCATCCTTGCATCCATCCATCCTTCCATCCATCCATCCATCCATCCATCCTTCCATCCATCCATCCCTCCATCCATCTTTGCATCCATCCATCCTTCCATCCATCCATCCATCCATCCATCCATCCATCCATCCATCCTTCCATCCATCCATCCCTCCATCCCTCCATCCATCTTTGCATCCATCCATCCATCCATCCCTGCATCCATCCATCCATCCTTGCATCCATCCATCCATCCTTGCATCCATCCATCCATCCTTGCATCCATCCATCCTTGCATCCATCCATCCATCCATCCTTGCAGCCATCCTTGGGTCCATGCGTCCATCAGTCTGCCTGTCCCTTCCCTAACTCACTCCCAAAATGTTTTAGGCCACATCATGAGTCCGTGTGAGCCATGTGAGCCAAACCATGTTCACTGCCCAGGCATCCAAATCCTCAGACCCATATTCTTTGCCACAGAGTTGGGATTCTCCAACTTTTTGGTCTCATTACTCCATTACAGTGTGGGAAATCATTATAAAGCCGGTTGTGGCAGTGCACCCTTGCAACCCCAGCACTTGGGAGGCTGAGGCAGGAGGATCAAGAATTCTAGGCCGGCCTGGGCTACAAAGTCTCAAAAAACACACAAAAATTATTATGGACCCTTAGAAGCTTTTGTTCATGCAGGCTGATATTACCATAGTAGAAATTAAAACTGAGAAATGTTGGGATCTTTACTTGTTCATTCACTAACAATAATGTCAGTAACCATTCAGCGGAAATACCCATGTTTCCTATTAACAAAAGGTTCGGCGAGGTGAGTTGCATTATTTTATCTTTTGGCAAAGCCCTTTCATGTCTGACTTCACAGAGAGCAGCCGGATTCTCTTACTCATCTCTGGCTTCTATCTGCTGCAATGTGTGGAATTGGCTGCCGAATATGAAGAATATCTGACTTCGTCCAAAGGGAAGGAATACTTTAGTAAACCTCTCAGACAGCTGTGGATATTCCTTGATCCTGCAATACATGTGTTGGGTTTTCGCTTCCTAACGGTTAGTTACAAAGGAAGTCTGAAGCCCTTTCAGTGACCTTTCATACTGTTACATTCAGATCCATTAGCTATCTTGTTTTTTTGTTTTTTTCTTTTTTGTAATGGGGACTGAACCCACACCTTGCCACGTGCTAGGCAAGTGCTCTACTACTGAGCTAGATATCAGCCCTTTGAAAAACAAATTGATTTTCAGACAGAGTCTTGCTACCTTGCCCAGGCTGGCTTTGAATTTGCAATCATCCTGCCTCAGCCTCCTGTGGAGCTGGGATTGTGGGCATGTGCCACCATGCCTAGCTTGGCTCTTGTATCCTAACTGGGAGCTCGTGGTGGTGAGGGAGACAGGGATGGCTAGTAGAGTGTGATGGTGCTGACTTGACCCACGCTGAGTCACGGCAGTTTTATTCACTCACTTTACACCACTAGTGCAGATGCCGAGACACTGAAAAGGGTCGGAACCCACTCACGTTAGTCTGGAAATGGTCCAGACCTTGCAGATACGATGTGTGGGCCAGACGCTGTCTACACGACTGCACTGACACACTCCCTCTCCCGTCGGTGCATAGGACCCAGCTCCAAACTGTCCTCAGGAGTGCGGGTGATAAACCCAAAGCTGACCTCCCTGAACAGCTGTTTTGTGAATTTCTAACTTCTGGAAGCATTCATTAAAAAAAAACAAAGAGTAGCACCAAAACAGTTTTGAGCAAGAAAAGAGTTTTAAGAAATAAACGTGAGGCTGTGCCTGGTGGCGCACGCCTGTAATCTCAGCACCCGGGAGGCTGAGGCAGGAGGATCGCTGGGAGTTCGAGGCCAGCCTGGGCTACAAGGTGAGTTCAAGGCCAGCCTGAACTGCAGAGCAAGACCCTGTCTCAACAAACAACAACAACAACAAAAGCCAAGGAGCAGAGGCGGACTGCGGTGCGTCCTGGCACCAACCTATGATCTCCTTCACGAGGATGGGCTGCGAGTAGTACTTGGGCTCGCTGGCGCCCGCCGCGTTCACCGCCTTCACACGCACGAAGATCTTCGCGTCCGTGGGCAGCCCGGTGATGGTGAACTTGGTCTTGTCGATCAGGTCTGTGTTGGCGACGATCCAGTCCTCGGCTGCCGGACGGGAAGAGAAAAGAGGAGCAGGGCTTGGTCAGAGACAGTGTTCCAGCCTGGCGCTCGGGGTTTTCTGCACAGTTTGGAATAAATATGACTTTGCTCTGGACTTGGACTTCAGAGTGGGCATTTTTCATGCATTTAAATGAAAAATGGCCTAAAGCGGCTAAGATAAACACCAGGAAGAAGAAAGTATCCGATTCTGCCCTTTCTGAAATATCTCTTACTCAACATTACAGTGTTCTGAATAACAGTAACTGTTCCTGAGCGTTTGGCAGTAGTTTTAGTCCAGTCTGGTCGTTTTGTTTGAGACGGGTCTCACTATGTAGTTCAGGCTGGCCTCAAACTCATAGTGATCTTCCCGCCTCAGCCTCCCAAGTGTTGGGAGTACAGGCGCGCACCACCACGCCTGGTTATAACATTTTTAAATTGTATTCGAGTGTGTTTGCCGTGTAATGATTTCATGCACCCTGAAGAGTTGATTTTTTTTAAATGTAGCATTTGGTAGCTTTGTCTACAACAGCAAGAGAATTTACACCTGGAATTCAGGGCTTACAAATAATCCGCTTCTATAAAAGAATATGTGCGAGGCCCACACGAAAACCGATGGCCGAGGCCCCAGGACCGCCTCCCTCGGCCTCCCCCAGCCTGGGCTCCGTGCGAGGGTTGGGGCCGCCCCACGCGCGCGCCGGGGACACCCGGAAACGTCAGCACGCGGCGCCGCACGGTACTTTACCTGGCAGATCAGACGCAGCCTCCCCATTCTCACCAGACTGTTTGGCGGAGGAACCTTTGAGAAGCCGTCATTAGAGGGTTAAAGACACCCACGCCACATTCACACCGAGACCGGTCAGTAGCCAGCATTCTCTGTTAGTGACGTAGGCAGAGTGTGCAGAGATTTGTCCTCAGGGCGGGGACGAGAGACCAAGCGGGTTAGGTAGGGGGCTTCCTCCTGTCCTGGCCCTGCCCCGGGGAAGACGCGGGAAAAGATCCGAGCAAGATCCCCAAGGAAAAGGAGCTGCAGACTGTCTTCAGTCCTGCCTCTGCCCCCTCAGCCGGCGGTGTGCAGGGCCAGGGACGCGGGGGGCGCGGGGCTGGTGACTCGGCAGCCACATCTGACCAGGCTCACCGGCTCACCAAAGGAAGGGAAAAGGATTTGGCCCCAGCAGCCTGGAGGGATGCTCTGGTTGCCATGGAAATGAACTAGGGGTCAAGAAAACAAACTTAGTTGCTTGGGTCCCTCTGCACCCTGCCCTGCGTGGGGGCCCGCGGGTTTGGGGAGGTGACTTTCGTGCTGGAGAGGAGCAGGGCACCGGGACAGGACTGGCCGCCCCGGGGGTCCCTGCCTAGAGTGCCGAGGAGAAGGGGCAAGAAGCCAGGGGCCCTGAGGCTACGGAGTGGAAAACTGAGTTCTGAACTGGAAAAAGCTAAGCGCAGGGGTCGGGGAGAGTGCCTCTGTTGGAATTCGCAGCGCCAAGAGAACAGATGAGAACGTGCAGAACAGGAGGAAAGTCGTGAGAAAGGAGTAAGATCGGCCCAAGAGAACACTCCCGCAGAAAACAGCGCTGAGAAAGACCGGGAAAACCGCCGTCTGTTCCCAGGGAGCCCCGGTGACCGAGGGAAGCAGAGAAGGATGTGTGTCGGGAGGCACAGGTCCCTTACCCCACACGCCGGGGGAAGTTGTAAGGAAGAGAAGAACGGACGGACGGAGAACAGGAAGAAAACAAGAATCAAATGCTGCAGGCGTTCAAAAGAAAAAAACCCAAACAAGAAAAAGGCAGAGTCAAAATCAACACATGACCTTACACAAGAAAGACTCCTTTTTCAGAGTAACCCTGACATACCCCAAGGCATCAGACACCGAGAAGATTAGTCTGGGGGACAGCAGCCATTAAAAGAGAAGGAAGAATAAAGCAGCCACATAGAGAACGTAAGAAAAGACCGCAGGAAGAAAGGTATACACGTTATGAAAGAACTCCCATAGAAAGCTAGCTCCAAGACGTTACGTGGGAAATGTATACATAAGAAAGACTGTGTACTTATACATATGTATATCCGGGTATACATATATATCTACACAGACCACACGCAAGACTACGTAAAATACACTGCGTTGTATTTTATCTAAGGTGGGTAACATCAAAATGACAGCCATCTATCATTTTGCTGTATCTTCTTACTTTTTAAACCTATCAGAAAGAAAAGAGTAAAGCGTTGGGTCTAATTCATATACACACAAAGGATTTGTGGTGAGAAGCCCGTCACGCACACAAGACTGGGAAATCCCGTTGCTGACCGCACAGCACAAGCATCAGTGGTGTGCTCACGATTTTTTTTTTAAAGTCAGGGGACAAATAAATAGAAATCATGCTTTGGAGCCCCTGAGAGCCCTCTCAGTGCACTGGTGGCCATACCCACTCTCTTGCTATGGTGACCCCCGGACCTTGGTGTTAGATGCCCATTAGTTTGGGTCAGACGCTTCCTAAGCCCTGGCAAAATCAAGCGTAGCATTCTGCAAGGGGCGTAGGTGCAGCAGGCATCAGGGAGGCTAGGCTACCTCCTCTCCTCTGCTGCCCTCCCGGCCCGGAGTGGCCATCTCCCCCCGGGGCCCATCGGGGCGTGGGCTTCTTTTCTTCCTGACAAGTTGCTTCTCCGTGATGGTTTTCTTCGAGGGCGGCTGCATCACGCTCACCTCCCGGTTCCCCAAGAGCAGCCTGCAGCCTCCCTGCTTCGCTTGGAGCACGCAGGCTAAACCCGGCCCCCGGGGGTGTGCTCAGACCTTCAGCCTCGGGCTGCTCTCGGCAGCGTAGGAACGGGCTCCTGGCACCCGCTGCCACCCGGAGGGGCGCCCACCTCCAACCGGGGCGACTCCAGTCACCCACATTCAAACGCCGCCTCCTCCTGCTCGGCATGACAAGAAGGAACCAAGGACTCGAGGCTCTCGGAGACCCCACGGTGGTTGGGTCTGCAGGTGCAGCGTGGCCCGTTCTTCTAGGGCCGTGTTCTCCGGATGCACCGCTCCTGTCCGTGATGCCTCTGACCTTATTTCCCTTCCTCTCCTACACCTACTCGACGAAGCCGTCAGACACCCAGGCCGGACGAGTTCCTGCCACACAGCGCTCCTGCTTCTTTTGCTCTCTGGACTTTAACGGTGTTTACTTTAAAATTAAGAGCTATTCTTAATTCTTCGTTTTTGTTTTTCTTTTTCCCTTCAGAAGGCAGCGGGCCGCGGGATCTAGAGCCTCGGATTGCCCAGGGTTTCTAATGCCCTTCCTCCTAGCTCGCCTGGCACCGCGGCCCGCTCCAGAAGCGCAAGTCACTTGCGTTGCCCAGCGGTGTCGCCTGACCGCAGTATTTTTGAGCTCTCCACTTACTAGCCCCAAGTACTAAGAAGGGCGACCTTTCAGACAGCTCGGGAGGACGACGCGTGGCTGGGTTTCGTCCTCAGCAGGCAAGAGGTCAGTGCCCAAGAGACAGAGAAAGCGGTCGCCGCCCGGGGTACTTACTTCCCTCAAAGCAGTACTCCAGCACGTAACCATCCAGGCCGGCGGCGCCGATCTGGTCCGGGGGCCGCCACTTCATCGTCACAGTCGTGTCTGTCACAGAGTCCACGGCCAGCAGCGTCGGAGGGCTGGTGACAGCTTCAGAGCGGAGAGACCGGAGAAGGGGACAACTGTGAGCTACGGAGCCTCCGACACAACAACCGGGATACACCAAAGGAGGACGCAGCTGAAAGACACCCCCGCCTTAGCGCCACCCAGCTGAGACTCAGCGCGGCTGCGTGGGAGGCAAGGGTCCGACCACAGGAGACCCGTCCTCAGAGCGGGGCCCCCTCGATCTCCAACTGCAGCGTGGCTGTGAGGGCCGGGGGGGCCCAGGGCGTGGGAGAAGCCAAAGTTTTGGGAGCCAGTGACTGGGAGTAAATTTCTCATAACCCTCTAACTTTAAAGTACAATTTTAAGAAGGTGGCGCACGCCTGTGATCCCGGCACTGGGGAGGCTGAAGCAGGAAGATCGGCCTGCTACGTAGCAAGACTGTCTCAAACAAACCAAAAGAACAACAATATAAAGTACACATTCTTGTACTAAATTTTCTTTCTATTAAAACAAACAAACAAAACAAAACAGGCTGTGGCTATAGCTCAGCGGTACAGTGCCTGCCTGGCAAGTGTGAGGTTCTGAGTTCAATTCCCAGTATAAAGAAACAAAACCAAAAAGCCCTTCAGTACTGTACAATAGTGGAGACATTTCTGCACTTTTTTGCCTCATGAAACGGCTTTTTGGTTCCATACACAAAATTTAAGGTGTAACCCTAAGCAAAGACACCAGTGTCCAAGCACAGCTCTTGACGGGATCGGGTGCTTTAGTTGCACTGTTGCTGTCACACCAGGGTCTGCGTGTACCGTGGGAGAGGAGATGTGTTCTTGGTCTCAGCTACCTGTTTCCAGGGGTGGCGGTGGAATCCTAGAGACCAATTCCAGGGCCCACATTGCAGATATTCTAACAAAGGGACTTTAATTTCTTAGAAATTTGCTCCTAATCATACCTGTTTGTCTACCTGTCTTGGGTTTTTTGAGACAGGGCTTCCTTATGTAGCTCCGGTTAGCCGGGACTTATGGCAATCCTCCTGCCTCAGCCTCCTGGGTGCACCGCCACACCCACCCGCCACTCTAGGCAGCCTCCAGCTTGTTCCGGCTGGAGTTAGGAGGCTAGGAGTTGTTACACAAAGCAGCGATGCCCAGGCCAGGGTCGCGTTGCCCACAACTCACCCAGGGGCACAAAGGGCTTGGACGGCATGCTGGGCTTGGAGATGCCAATGGCGTTGACCGCGAAGATGCGGACCTCGTAGGCCACGCCCTCGATCATCTTCTTGGGCTCGAAGGTCGTCTCCTTGCAGAGGTCGAAGTTGAGCCTCATCCACCTGGAGCTCTGCTTCTTCTTCCTCTCGATGAAGTAGCCTGCGGGCGCGGGCAGAACCAGGGCCGGGTCAGAGCTGGGGCTCGCAGCCCACTTGGGGAGTCTCCGGGGGACGGGGCAGGGCGCGACTCACCACCCCAGCGGGATGGCGAGTCTGAAAAATTACAGGGAGCGCAGATACTGCCATCACGAGACAGTGCAGAATAAAATAACGACTACGAGAAAATTTTGGCTGTGCTAGGAAAAGAGGACAAGGGGGCAGCAGACACGCGGAGTGCGGCCCTGCGATCAAGCCGGCGAGGGAGACGCGAGCTGGAGGTGACTCGCTAATGCGGGGAGGCGGGCACGTTCTTGTGCTGCTGGGGAAACACATTCTTCTAAACATTTAACGGTCAAAGAAAATTCTTCATGACAGAACCCTGCGGAGCTAGGCATTCCCTGACCAGGACGGTGGAGGTTAGACTTATAGTTGGCTGAAAATTAGATATGGAAGCCAGGCACAGTGGTGCACACCTGTCATCCCAGCACTCTGGGAAGCTGAGGCAGGAGGATTGCAAGTTGGAGCCCAGCCTGGGCAATTTAGTGACTTAGTGAGACCCAGCCTCAAAACCAAAAATAAAAAATGGGCTGGAGATGTAGCTCAGGATGAAGGCCCTGGATTCAATCACCGTTACTACAAAAATTTTAATAAGTAGGTAAATAAATAAATGCAAATAAAAATTAGATATGGAGCAGGGCATGGTGGCGCACATCTGTAATCCTAGCACTCAGGAGGCTGAGGCAGGAGGATCATGAATTAGAGGCAAGCCTGGGCTACATAGTGAGACCCTGTCTCAAAAAAGAAAAAAAAAAAAAAAAGGGAAGGAAACCAAACAGTTAAATATTGAATGTAAATGACAAAGAAAGTGAACAGTTAATGATGTAATACTCATTGGACCTGTTTATATCTCAACTAATTACGCAGCATTCCGAAATACATATCAATCTGGGTGGATACGGAAAGCTAGACTGGACACGGGATCTGTAAGCGTCGATTTGTGACCTATTTTCCTGTACCCCGCAGCCCGCCGCCTGGTCCACAGCCTCACCCAAGATCGGAGAGCCGCCGTCGTAGACCGGGGGCTCCCAGGTCATCACGCACCAGTCGTCTCCCACCTCCGTCACGTTCGGGGCCACGGGGGGGTCCGGGATGTCTGTGGTGGACAACGAGGTAGGACAACAGGAAATAAAATCAGGGCCCGATCAGGCGGCATAAAGAAAAACGTTCCTGGGGAAAAATATGTTGTGGTAAGCACAGAAACTTATTGCTGAGTACTCTTCCATGCTTCCTGAAACGCGCAGCTCATGTGCACGAGGACTCGCGCCCAGTACCGGTCAGGGAAGGAGCGGCCGCGGGAGTACAGCCCCGGGGCCTCCCAGCCTTCACCCGAGGGAGGGCCGCTCCGCGCTCCGCGCTCCGCGCCGCCCCGAGCCCCGGACAGTAACCGGGAAACGCCCGCGCGGGTGTCAGGGGCGCGGCCCGGCCCACGCCGTCAGGGCTCGCGCGCACGACTTGTATCAGGCGGGAGAGTCC